AAGCCTGAACTCACTTTCTAGTCGCGTCTAACTGAAATGGGCTTCCGCGGGAATCAAATGGCTGACTAGTTCCTGTCACTTGATCTGCATCCACACGCAGTGTTACTGTCCAGTGCATCAAACGTACGCAGCTCCTGTCGCGTATGCACTGCTCGTTGTTGGCCAACTGAACCGGTCGTCATTACTAAGACTGCAGCAATACTCGAGTACATTGTACCGACGCGTCACTGCCATTCGGCCGCAACAGTTTGTGTGCGGGCTAGAGATGCTGTAAAGTCACTCTCATCTACGTAGAACCGAACCGATGGCCTGTGGATTACAAGCCAGACGCCTTATCTACTCGGCCGCAGGTCGTCATTTAAACTGCACTTGACTTCATTGATTGTTCATTTTGGGCAATTTTCCCAATATTGGAGAACTTTGACCATTTTTATTCATTGCAATAAGATTTCAACAAAGATGCTTATCGTTCAGCTGAAACATGCGTCGGAATTATTGTCTAACGAAGCAGGGTAAGTGGCTCTGGCGACCCCCCCATCGTCGCTAGAGGACTTTGTGTATCCCTGGTGACTGGTCTAGTGACTTAGTCTGAGCTCCTCGTAGTGTCGAAGTAGTTCTCAGCGACCATTTTCTCTATTAAGGAGGGCGAGTATGCATCTTGTGATAATCACCAAGTTACTATTTTCTCGCCATCGCCTTCAGCTCACAATGCTTCATACTGCAGTGGGTTACCATTTCTCTTGGACTTCGATTCACTGGAAACCCAGCCTTCATCCATTCCTGTGCGGGATACACCTTTTTGTTTCAGGTGCTTGAGCAGCGTCGTCCTTGTAAACAACTTATCAGGCTATCTGCTTTTATTCTGACGACTACTTATGAATCAGCTGAATGCATCACTGTTTGTGACGAGGCCTTTCGTTGAATGGCCTCACCTTAGGTTGATAATACGCTTCAGTAGATGGTTAGATCCAGCGGCACTTCCTCGCTTGGGAAATTCAAAACAGTTAGTTCCCTTCAGTAGTTTGACCAACGCAATGAGAAGATGCTAGCCCTTCGTATTCTCTCGTCATAACCAATACAACAATCGGAAGATCTTTTCATAGATATTATGGGACATAATCAAACCAGTCCGGTTCATGATTGTGGTCATTGTTGTTGGCTTTAGGACCACGGAAACCACCGTTTGACAACTAGTTGGTTTTGGATGCATAAAGGTGGTCTAATTCGGCCTATCGTCGTCTCTTTGCTTGTAAACTACTAAAGCGAACTAACTGTTTTATATTTCAATTTGAACTACTCATTCTGTAGCCTTCCTAACTGTATCCCTCTCGCTTCACTGCCGCCGCTGGTCAAGCGTTTCAACCCAACACCATCATTCGTTGCAACTGGCACCTCACGTGTGTTGCTCTCCTTTGGGCTTCTTGTTGTTCTACCATACTCATATGGCTCCATGTTAGTCGTTCTGATCCGCTATCGAGCGTTGCTTATAACTCCGACTCTAATATTCCACCGTATTACATGTGTCACGTAACAGTGTGTCACTATTTGGCATTATAGATCCCTTACATGACGGATTTTGGTCATTTTTACTGATCTCACTCAATGTAAAGTGATATTTACACTTTATCCCTCTGTGGAAAGCCAATTCCATTCCGTAACACAATTCGAGACTTGGCATTCATTATTCAAGCACCCTCAATTTCGGGGAGCGGAGCGAATTCACAGCATCCCAAAGCCGTCAAAAAGCGAGCATAATCAATCGTACTGAGTGACTCCAAGGTTCATATCTTCAAGATCTGTGTGCGCCCTCTGCTAGAATACTGTCCTGTGATATTCACCATTTGTTGGAAACACGATCGTTTACACCTAGACAGCGTGCTGCGTCGATTCACCAATGCCTTATTTAGTGAATCTCCAACGCCAAACTATTTGGAGCGTTGTACAGTGCTTAAATTGGTGTCTTTATGACGACGGAGAATGCAGCTAGACCCGTAGTTTCTGTTTGACATCATGCACAAACGTGTAGTTACTCCGCACAGTAGTGTACATTTCAATCAGAGTGCAACGTTTGACATCAGGAATTGGAGGGATTCGCTCTCTACCAATAGAAATGAAATAAACATATGTAGTAAGTTTTTCCCGCTGAATCACTCAAATATCTGGAACAGGTTACCTAGTGAATCGCGACTGTGAATAAGCAATCGTTTGGGATATACTGGATAAGGTGTTGCAAGTCAGAACTCTGATGAAACTGCACTGCAGAATAGACAATGTATGAAGAAGGGGTTGAAGTATTAGTACACAGTAAAGACATCACGTCATCATGTGTGAAAACTGCCTGAACAATATCCTTTTCGTTTTGCTAAACTATTTAGCTTTTGCCCATTCCAACATCAGATGATATCTGGTTCCGTCATGCCAACCTGACAGTTGCTTTCTCTATTTATGTTTGTTCCCCACTGCTAACTGTTATCTTTACTTTCCCGGAGAGAACAACTCGACGACACGTAGTAGTGGTTGGCGCTCCGGGAAGTCAGTTTATCGATATCAGTTCTACAACTCGAATGTCTGGAATCGTTGGATCTACCAAAAAATCCTCCAGAGGGCTATCTATTTTATTACTTCTATACACTCTATGTACAACCTGAAGCAGAATCCGTCGAAGATATGCCACACATTTATCAATATTTTTATTTCACAATATTTCTTTTTCCATTGTTGGCCGCGACTGGGTCAGTCTCTTGAGGTGACGGAATGAAGCTTCCGAAGTGACCAATACACTTACGTTGGGCGATTTGCCACATCTACTGGCGAATAAAAGTATACCCACGCGAAGCAAATTGACACGGACTTACTGGCGAGTAACAGAAGTGTTAGGCATGTAAGAGTCAGATGTTGAAACGGGATGAATGGCTTAAAAGAATAAAAAAGAAAGAAAGCTTATTTATTCCAGGGTGCCTAGTACACCCTATACATAACGACGGCTCAGAAGATGAGCTAATATGCTGATGGCTCACTTGCTCTTATGCCACGCCGGCACAAGGCAGATGGGGCGTGGAAGCCCAAAAGAAACCTTTCCAGCGACTACACCGCATGGAAACAGGTCCCCAAGAGACGTTTCCACTGATAGCCGTATTACTTCACTTGAACTTTTTTCAATGCTCACTTTAATCCTACTCTCAACTTCTCCTTCTTTCTAACTATTTCACTGATCGAACACCCCAAAAACTTGTCTAGTAGCTGCTTACGGTCATTTGAACGAAAATCTGTTTTTTCGTTATCCTTTTGTGCCAAATGATCGGACCACCTAGTTAGACTGTATCTTGCACAGTCGAGAAACGTACAACCTATACCGAAGGTCGCAATGTAGCAGGCGGCATGACCTGTCTGACTTTCGTCACCTGACTTCATGTAATCGGGAACGGTCGAACTGAATCAGCCGTATCCACCTCTTATGTGGTCTTTCCTACTTATTAGTGAAACAGGTTTTTGCTGCTTTTCTTATACCTTTGCTTAGACGTTATGAAGATGTCAACGACTCCAGATATCGCGGAAGATCGATTTTATCTTGCGTGGTGGCATTTTTTAACGCTGCTTCCTGTCATCCGCCTGTTTCTCCGTCTTGACACAGCAAGCCATTTAGTGGTGCATGTTGACGGAATGCATCTTTGATCTCTCTTGTCCTATTACTAATTGTTTTGAAAGCATTTACTTCACTTTCAACTGTCCTTGGTCTGGATTACACGGCACTTTAATGCAGCCTACTGCAGTAGATACGCTCTATTGAGCCACCTGAATCCAGCTTTTTACCTACACTACCCACTCTACGGATTTACATCTACTCTTACCGCAATTATTTTTCTGAGTTACTACTACTCTGGATCACTTCTTCGACCACTGGGAATCGAACAAAACAGAACAACTCCACCGTCAGTTTGTTGACCACAAATCTCATCCTTAGGTTCTACGTTACTTGAAATGTCCCATTTGAATCGCTTCTACTAACTCTATCGTGTGCTCCATATATGTGCAACCTCGTGGCCGCGGTGTGTGCGTTGTGTACGAACACTGCGTTCACTTGGTTGAAATCCGTAGGTCATCGACACAGCGAAACAGCCTGAAAGAACTCACCGAACGGCTGAGTGGAGTTGGTGATTGTCACTTTCTTGAGTGGAGTCCTCGTGCTCAGCTGCATCGTTTGTTGGACACGTGGTTGGCACTGTCACGGAATCGGTGGCGCCCCATCATTCATTTCGCAACTTCAAGAACTTCGACCCTTATACTTATTCCTATTTTGGCGACATGTGTCAAGGTAACTGGATCCACCACATCTCGGCGCGTGAGTCATAATCAATAAAATAAATTGAACTATCAAATTCTTAGGATAAGCAGAACTGACTATCAGTTAGCCCAGATAGTATAGCTGGACATTCCCAGAAGTGGTTGGGGCAGCTGATGTCGCAACAAAACGGAGCGTATCCGCGGATAACTCGGAGCCCGGCTTTACCTATCGTCAAGCACCTGATAGTAAATCGACATCATGTGAACCCGGAGACTGCGTTCAAGGTGTTATTGCGCAACAAGAACCGGATGATGTTGACAGTCCATGAGCCCTTTCTAATTAGTTTCTACCAAGCAGTTATGTGCACAGAAGCAATCAGTTAGGTCGCCTTTGTCTTAATTTGTATTGTCAATTGTTCCAAGTATCTTACCGTGTGTATTCTAATTGTATTGATTACACGATTGATGAGGATCAGCATGTTAACCTATAGCGACCCATGCCTTCTCTCTGCTTTGACGAAATGGCTTTACGTTAATCACAGTTTTACCTTTTGATTTCTTACATGCTACACTTGCCCTACCCACTTTTCATTTCACAGACTACTAACAGCGAGCAGTGACGTTCACATCATTGAGCATGTGCTCTGAGTATTTCCCCCACAAATTGTCACCAATATGATGACGATCACTCGCTTCTTCAATTTAAGCCTTCATTTGCCATGCCAGACAGACCAGCTCAAGGTTCCTTTGCGCGAACCAATCCTTTTGACAGAGAAACTGTTGAAGATCAGTTCAGTCCGATTTCGGCGGTATACAATGGTAATTTGTATATTCTTCTAATTTATTGACATAGCTTCGGAAGTAGGCTACTCACAGGAGGTATACGAATCGACACAACCCATTCGGGATCACTTCTTTGATAATCTGCTGGTGAGAACCCAAACATTTGCACTGTTCTGCCACTTATTTTCCCATCCCGAATAGTTTATTTCGGACCCCCAAATTGCTCTCAATCGCTACCAATGATAATCGTTTTGATTCTACCTCACTAAAGCTAGGACTGCTTTGCAGTCTTGTGTGACCTTGCAAAACATGTTTCAAAATATATCTGTTTTCATTTTCACCCAGTACAATAATGATGTTTGTGCAACTATTCTGGCGATGTTGCTTTCACTTCTAACGGGTAATTTGTGTAGCAGCCCTCCCGTTCTTGTCAAATCGAAATTGTTTTTATTTTTCTTTACAAAAACTCACATTAATGCTCTAACTTGACTCCGTCCCCTAAATCATTGTTTTATGTGGCTTAACTATAGGATAGTGTTCTAGAGCTACTTGATTTTCATTATTACTTTGTCATTTGGAAAAGACTGGTGCCTTTTACATACCAATATGGTCCATGAGTTTTATGGTTTGGGCAATAAATGCTAGCATGTATTTTAATGCGGCTATTCTTTCAGCATGTACGGACCCCAAACTCTCACTTTGTCCAGGTCAGATCTTTTTCAAAACTTTTTTTCTGCATACCAGATTGACTTGGATTCGACTTCCACAGTGGAAGAATTGCAGGAGGCGATTATGCGGTGCAAACACCTGTTCTTAGCCACCCCGGTTGAGCTTGAGTCCAAGCGAACTCGCCTTTTAAATCGGCTATTCGTGCTGCGTCGGATGTTACACAATCTCAAAGTAAGTTGCTTCCTTACGTCTTCGCCATGTACACTACATTGAGCTATTCCATGAGTAATGTTATAACTGATCAACTTTTGCTCGACCCATCGTTGAATGAACTGTTCTTTTGGAGATGCTGCACGCCATCTTTAAGGTGAGGTCATTGTCGTGTTCTCTACCCACTAAGCTGCCGCACCTCAGCCTGTCATTAACCCTGCACGCATGTATCCACACATAGCCTGGCTCAACTTTATTAACGGCACCAATATCGATAAAGATAGTTGCTGGATCCAGAATTATGCTATGAACACGCCGCTTATATCCCACTGGACCCAATAAATTTGACCAGAATCATGCTTCTCTTTTGTTTGAAGAAGTGTATTGCATGGGTTGTCCATGTGTAGACAGAAGAACCATAAGGGTTCTCAACTAAAGTATTCGGTTTAAAAACCGGACCGCAAAGCAACGGGAGTTTGACAGTGAGCTACATGGATCCCGTTTTGAGGAATAAAGAGCCCCCAGCTTGCAGTCCCAAGCTTGAAGGGCCGAGAGCCTGAGTTAGTCTAATAATGATAATAATAATAATAATAATCGTAATAATAATAAACAGCTTCTTTCCAAGAGGAAGGGTGACTAAACGATGAATTGGTCAAGAACAATGTAGGCCCTTACTCCGACTTTGGCCTTGGTTGGAGCCTCTCGGCTCCCAGGTTGAGGTCCGAAAGATGATGAACATGTTCAGCTGGATACACTTGCTGACGTAGCTAGGAACCGACCTCATTGGCGTTCGTGCTGTGGGTTTCTTTATCCCTCCCCATCTCTCTTAGCTTCTCCTCCAATCGTGATCTCATTTCCCATGATAAAGCAAGTTTTGCCTAATAAATTTTTTTGCTGCATAGTGGTCCGCTGATCACTTTCCGGAACGATGCCCATCCGTTACTGATAGTTCAGCTGGCGTGCACCAGTTATAGTTTCTTTTCTTTTCTTATGTATTGTGGCACAGTACCTGAGGTGTTTTCCACCTCTAGGTAGGTTGTATAGTGATAATAATGAGTAAATTTCCCGGCAATGAGAGACACGGTCCAGTGCACGTGGTCCGATCGTTGTGTACTGGTTTCACTTAATCATTGGCCATTAACCTATTTCGTGAGCGTAACTTAGAAGATACAGAATGCATCATTTAACATAGCTTAGCGGATCTTGAAGTCTCACCAATCGTCTCATCACGTTAATTTGCAGTCTTATCCTGATGTTAGACCGGTCTGATCGTTTCCCTGATTGGCTTCGCTGTGGAAAATGAGTGGTTTCGCCGTTTGTAAAATCAAGTAGGACCAAGAAATTGTCCGACGCATCCGGGAAGGCTGAAGGCTGAGCGACCAGGAGAAATAAATTGAAACCTCCGAACTTGACCAACTCTATATCCTGATCACCACTATATCTTGTGTACCTCTCTAAGTTGCCCGTTTTATTTTCAATTGCTTACAGCGGGTGTTATCGGCGTCTAAGGGAAGATCTCAACATGATGTATCAGATTCTTAGGAACCCCATCCACACATGCAATTCTCTTTTCAAACTTCCAAAACATCTCTACGGATCATCACTTTAGGCTAGTCACGCAGTGCAGCCGACTTTAATGTCAACGAAACTTTTTCTCCATCCGAGTGTCTCACCCATAGAAGGCTCTCCCGGCGCATGTAATTAATGCCCCCACATTTCTCCTATTCAAAAATCGTCTTGACGATACGTTGACACATTTAAACTACGTGATATTGCCCATGACCATCAGATGCTGGCATTAGGGCGCAACAAACAGTGGACGGTGTCATAACCCTACTCGCACATGAGTTAGTTCAAATCCAGACCGGGAGGCATGTGGATGGGAACCACCTTTCATCAACGGAGCCGGCCCATACTCCTTCACAGGCAAACACATGCACGCTGTCGTTGGGAATTGAGCGCACACAATGCGGTGGCTGGACCTTAGTACGCTCCACACTTAGTGCATGGAACCACTCTTCGAGCCTAGCATGGCCACGAGGACCGTACACCCCATCCCCTCCAACAACGACCAACTGTCTCCTGGCGGCAGTATGGACGAGGTAGTGGGTAATAGACAGGTAGGCACCTTGTCAACATGCATATCAAGCGCAGCTACCCCGGGGATATCAGGCAACAGCTAATCACTTGAAACGAGGAGATTAAATAAGACATATCGTATAATGCCTACAGATACGGTCACCTAACTCCACTGAATGAGCGTATAAAATAAATTGGTTAGGAACAAATTCGCGATAAGTTCAAGACGTCGGAAAATTTATTTGACGAAAATGCTGCGAACGCGGAAATGTTATCGAAGTTAACTAAAGTATTTTAAGGAACATGTGCATGTTTATAGAAGGATAGTTCAGGTAGACATTAAGATGGGATAAAAATGCATTAGGACAATAAAGCAAACACACCACCCTAAAGAGACTCCTCAGCAAGGGCACGCTTAGTAAATCGAATACAGCGTACCTACACACACTGCTCCGGTTCTGCCTACGCTCGCAGTAGGTCTCGTCGTCGTTTCGGTGCTGGCCCCGAGTGGCCTCGCGCATGGCTCACTAGGCCTGCCTGACTCAGGCACTCGCGGCCGCATGTGCTACAGCACCATGCGTTCGATTTCGATTGAGCACAATCCATTGGCGACTGTCGCTTCCGCACTTGCCGCTCCTTCTCTGCATGTACGAGGGATTTCTCTTGCTCCTCGGCAACTGCCTTCGTGATCAGATCGCGTCATGCACGCCGATCAACTGCTATCATGATTAAAACGTGTGATGCTCACTTTGATCATGTCCTGGTAATGAAGCTTCGGTTTCCTATATGCCGTTACCCCAAACTCAGTTGACCATATGATAGCTGCTTCTGTATCTGCGTCGATTCCATACGCCTCAAATGACCGTGCCACCTCAGGTGTTTCAGCAAACGTATGCAGTCCATTGATACATTACACTACGGCGCATCACTTCCGCATCCGCAACTCTGTCGCACCAACCACTGCGCAGACTCCGTCGCAAACACTATTGATAGAACCGCTTGAGATATCGCACATCCCACCGGTACATCGTCCACGTTTCACTGCCGTATAGAAGAACGGACAGTACCATGGATGTGTACACCATCAGCTTCGTGCCAATGCTAAGCTGATGGTTGTTCCACACTTGGTACTCTAGCTTCCCGAATGCCGCCGCTGCCTTCGAGACGCGGATACGAAGCTCACTGTGTAGCTGATGCTCAGTTAACACCACACTCCCAAGGTAGCTGAAGCGGGTGGTTTCCAATACTTCAGCACCAGTGCTGATTCGCGGCAATATTGAAGATGGCACCTCCGATGAAGGCTGAAAGAGACAGACAGTTTTGCTTATGTTGATGGTGAACCCGAATTTGGCCGCTGTCGAATCCAGAGCACTAGTCATGTGCTGCAACTCATCCGCGCTGTGTGAAAACAACGCACAGTCGTCAGCAAACAGCAACATACAGATAGTCGTCTCACAGACTAGAGTTCTCGCACCGAAACGACGGATGTTCAGCAACCCACCATCAGTACGATGCTCCATATATATATATATATATATATATATATATATATATATATATATATATATATATATATATATATATATATATATATATATATATATATATATATATATATATATATATATATATATAAGAGTAGGTGCCTCCCGAGCTGAAGGATGCCTTTGTGCTACCACTCTATAAGGGCAAATGAAACAAGCAATGTTGCACGAATTATCGTGGCATCAATTTGTTGAGTTGCGTGGACAAGGTCATTGTCCGAATCCCGCTCATCCGCCTTGTCAGTGAGGTTGTAGAACCGTACGTGGCGGAAGAGCAATGCGGATTCCGTTCGGGTCGCAGCCCCATCGTTCTGGTGTTTGCAGCTCGTCAGTTGCAGAAGAAGTGTAGAGAACAACACCAGCCGTTGTACTCGCTGTTTGCTGATTTCACCAAAACATTTGACACGATGAACCGCGAGGCATTGTGGCTGGTGTTAGGTAAGTTTGGTTGTCCGAGTAAGTTTGTAAGTTTGAATGAATGTCTGCACAGTGGTATGCGGGCGAGGGTGCAGCTGAGTGAAGAGACCGGATGACTTTCAGTTGTCTCTGATGTGAAGCAGGGCTGTGTCTTAGCACCTGCTCTGTTTGACGTTTGTCTTCATGCCATGATGTATTGTGCTTTTGATACGGCATGTGTTTACGGCGTTCGTGTGGAGCACCGTATTGATGGTCGGTTGCTGTACATCCGTCGTTTCTGTGCGAGAACCCTATTCTGTGAGACAACTATCCGTAGTTTGATGTTCGCTGGCGTCTCTACGTTGTTTGCACACGGCGCGGATGAGTTGAAGCACATGGCTTGTGCTGTGGCTACTACGGCTGTGAAATTCGGGCTCATCATCAACAGCCGCAGTAATACTTGTCTTTTCCAGCCTACACCTGGAATGGAGTTCGTAGGCCTTCACAAATCCATATTTCTGACGATACGTTGGAAACCACCTCGAGATTTTGCCACCTTAATAGCCTAATAACATATGCCCAGCAGATGACCTGCGAGCCGCGAGGCCGCGTATCGAAGGCGGCTGCTGCTTTTGACAAAGTGGAATGCCGTGGGTTTCACTACCACCCGCTCAGTATTGAGAAGAAGCTGATGGTGTACAAATCCATGGTGCTGTCCGTTCTTCTATATGGCAGCGAAACCTGGACACTTTATCAGAAGGATGTCCGATATCTATAGCGCTTCCATCAGCAGTGCCTTCGCCGTATTATGCGCACCGGCTGGAGTGACCGAGTTGCGAACACGGAGATGGTCGGACCCAGTGGCTTGTATGCAGTGGTCTGCGTAATTCTGTTGAAGCAGCTGAGGTGGCACGGGCATATTCTCCCCATAGATTCGACCCGGATACCGAAACAGCTGCTTTATGACTAACTAAGTGCAGTGAAGCGACACGTGGGAAAACCGAAGTTACGTTACCAGGACATGATCAAGATGAGTTTGTCACGATCTAACCTTGATTTCAGATCATGGGAATCGAAGGCGGTTGATCGGCGTGCATGGCGCGATCTGATGACTAAGATCGTTGCCGAGGTGCCAGAGAAATCTGTCACGCATGCAGAGAAGTAGTAGCAAGTGCTGAAGCGACAGGCGCTGATTTACTCCATTGACGTCGACCGTATGGTGCTGTAGCACATGCGGTCGTGAGTGCTTGGGTCTGGCCGGCCTTATGAACCACAAGCGAGACCACTCAGGACTAGCATTGAAACGACAATGAGTCGTGCTGATAGCGTGGGCAGTACCGGCGCAGCATTTGTAGGCACGCTGCATTCGATTTACTAACCGCGTGCTTGCGTGCTGAGTTTCTTCATTTTAGGTGCTGGGTTTGCTGCCTTTTCTTAGGGTTATTTTCTTACCTCATTTTGATTTGTTCCTGAATAATCTGTTAACTTGCACATTTCGCTTAAACTAAGAGTTGTTAACTTCGCTTATTTTTTCCCTTCTTGCATACGTGCCTTGATCCCTTTTTCTGCCATCCTGAATATATCACGACTATTTTGATAATCCATTTATTTCATATGCTAACTTAGTGGCATATCCGTATGTTTTATTTAATCTACTTTATTTGACATTTCATTTCATCATTGGCTGTTGCTTACCATCCCCTGTGTGACTGCGCTTGATGTGCATGTTGACAAGGTGCCTACCTGTCTGTTGCCCATTACCTCGTCCATACTGGCTCCAGGAGACAGTTGGTCGTTGCTGGAGGGGACGGGGTGCACGGTTGTTGTTGTCGTGCTAGACTCGAACAGTGGTTCCATGCACTCAGTGTGGAGCGTACTAAGGTCCAGGCACCGTCTTGTATGCGCTTAATTCCCAACTACAGCGTGTATGTATTTGTCTGTGAAGGATTGTGTGCCGGTTCCGATAATGAAACGCGGCTCCCGTTCACCGGCCTCCCGATCTTATTCCTTCGGGTTTACACTGGATATTGGGTATGTGGATGGATCTGTGGGTGGTGCAGCCCAAGTCACCCATAGTCCCTCTGTAGGCGGGGGCGTCCTGTGGTCATCCAATGGATCCTACAGTAACAGAACTGCATGCCGTCAACTATATATATATATATATATATATATATATATATATATATATCAGCTTACTTCCCTCTTAACTTGTTAAATGTTTCTTATGGTTGCATAGGCTTCTCTCTTCCCTACTGCGGGAGCATTTTGTTCGTCCTACTCAATTTGGCAATTGGCGAAGTTGCTCATTTTCAACGGGGAAGCCATCCAGTTTCTCAACCTGGGTGTCACATCAAAGCGGACAAAGCAGCTATTGGGAATCATCACCTTTACATTTGTTTCATAAGATCCCGTCATCCTTCAACAAGTCACACTATATTTCTTTGCTGGTGAACAAACTCGATACCAGCTACTCCTAATCATCTGAATAATTTGGCTCTTTTCTGCATAAAATTAAATCTGTCCCTTATAGCTTGGATTGTATTTAGTCAATTTCATGTCTCTGACCACATCATCATATTGAATGGCAATAGTGTGGTGGCGCGGTTAACTCTGGCTTCTGATATCTTAACAGCCGCATTAGCTGCAAAAAGCGTGTGATTGCTGAGATTACCCTAATTGTGTTTATGGCTCTGTGACACTTTCGGAATTCAAAGGGCGTCTTCCTTGATTTTAAATGCTGTGTACAAAACCATAATGGGAGCCTTTTTGGCAATGAAACTTGGCTCCTTCGGTTTGACGATCTTAGATACCTTCAGGTGTTCGGCTGCCATCGTTTTTGAAGTACTTCTTGTGCTGCGTGACACCACTTTGTCTGAAATGACTAGATGTTCTAGTGAATACCAGATAGAGATTGTTAGGCCAGTTATTTGGACCAAGTACCTTGGATTGTTCCGATTACTACTGCACATGCATCCCCACTGCTTATCGGTGTGTGACTTGTTTTGTTTACGGGGACAGGCAGTCCTTGATCTGACAGTGTGTTACGAACCTGCTGACGTATACACGATGTGTTCTAAGCCTGTCTCGCCTTCCACCGTGGAATCCACCTTGTGCATGACTCGGAACTATAGAAGGCATTGCTCGTAGCATGCACCACGAGCTTTTATTTTGCTTTCTCCTAAATTGACCATTGGCTTCATTTCTGTATTACTCGGAGTAACCTGTGTAGTATGACTGTTGCCCAAGACAGTGTACGCCGCATGCTATCTTTGACCGTTATGTAGTTTTGTGCTGCATGTATTTGGCAGTATATACACCGTGATTCCGAAGGTTCACTACAGGTATTTAGATTTCACATAAGGTTTCTTTTCTTGTCATCACTAGCTGGGTTTTTTGGTTGCATGACGGTGAAGCGTAACATTACATCTCTGATGCATTGCTGATGTTGATAGTGAACTGGATCAGTGGTACCATCTCACTGTTCTATGCTTTCTCCTGTACTGAACAGAAACTGATGATACTGACTTCTGACATTCAGTTCGGGAGCGCTTCGGTCTTGCTTCACATCGAGCATCCCAACTTCATAAGTGAATGATTGACCGCAATTCCGAACGTCACTTGTTGGGCTTGATTGCTACGCCTGAGAAATACAAGGTGCCAAATCGGTTTTCCGGCTTCGCCCACATCTTCCTGAAGTTTTCACATCCGATCTAGCCGCATGGAAAGTTATCAGTGTCGGATACATTCCCGGTGGCTCCAAAACAAATTGTTCTCGAAGTCCCGTATCGCAAACCAAACCCACATATACTTACCACCCAAAATGAAGTTTACTGTATATATATATATATATATATATATATATATTCAACAATTTATCAATTACAACTCAACTGGCTGAGAGCCAAGACAGTAAACGCCATTTTGGGTGATAAGTACATGTGTGTTTGGTTTGCCATATCGGACTTCGAGAACAATTTGTTTTGGAGCCACCGGGAATGTATCCGACACTGATAACTTTCCTTGCGGCTAGATCGGATGTGAAAACTCCAGGAAGATGTGGACGAAGCCGTAAAACCGATTTGGTACCCTGTATTTCCCAGGTGTAGCAATCAAGCCCAACAAGTGACGTTCGGAATGGCGGTCAATCGTTTAATTATGAAGTTGGAATGCTCGATGTGAAGCAAGACCGAAGCGTTCCCGAACTGAATGTCAGAAGTCATTGTCATCATTTCCTGATATATATATATATATATATATATATATATATATATATATAAAATTCACGTACGTCCTCAGCTTTCGTATCTAACCCAGTCTGCACAACCGTGTACGCGTCTTTTACTGATTCGTAGAAGTACTCTCGCTGAGCGCTGGCCTATTCATCTCTCTCAGATTCGGATTCGTCGTGTGGTTGGCGTTCGTCTAGCGCATGTAAGGTACAATCCGTAGGACCATGTTGATCGTTCCGGGGCACATGGTGCAATGGCTGTGTCATACCTTACGACTGGAAAATTCCTGACAGCTAGGGTACCATATAACTTTTAACCCACTTTCTACTCCCATTTCCGTTCTCCATTTCAACAAGATTGTCAAATCAGCTGGATGGCTTTACTCCCTTGATCCGCGTTACTCAGTAACCTTCTGATATTCACATTTTATCCTTTCTCCTTCACTTGCGAGTTCATTAAAATATTCCGTTGAGCCACATATCGTTTCTGACATTGATCCGTTTACTATCTGCTACGCGGACACCTTCCATGCTCATAAGTGAACTCAATTCCCTTACTGATACTCCAAGTATTCCACATCACTCGTTGCATTTCGCACTTTGATATTTCTAGCTCACTGCTACTTTTCATTTATTTCTTCAAACCCCGCCCCGTTTTATCGTAAGATAAATCATCATTGTCCATCATTAGTTCAGTTTCACTGAAAAGGATTGTACTTTATTCGCGCACATTTTAGAGGGATAAGACGCGTCTCTCCACAGCACTCTAATTCAGCACTTCTGTGTCGATCGCTGGCCAAGTGGCCTGCACGCCTGGCTTGCAACCATAAGGTCAACTGTTAGAATCCGCGTAGGGGCGGGTGTCTTCGCGGTATAATCAGGCCACGCGCGACTGGTGATGATTGCGTGGCAGCGAAACGCCTTTACGTCGTACAGTTGACACTTTTTTTACTTCCGTATACTGGGGTCCACACTACGAACAAAGCATTCGAGGCGTGTATAGTTCCACAACACCTTTGCCCACTGTACCCACCCGGATCCTCTGTGATGTTTATTTCTCTCCCTAACGGAGTTTGCCCGGCTGCTGTAGACACATAGTCCAATTCACGGCGTGACTTCTGGCTTTCGTGTGTCTATATGCGTTTGACTAAATTTCACCGAGCTACCGCTAAGCTCAGTTTCTCCCCACGACGCTAGCACCCCCATGTGTCTCATTCTCCGTGATTTGTTTTACTCCACTGCCATTGTCCTTTATACATCATTGACCTCCGCGAATAATTGTCTGAAATGTGTGCAATCTGTTATTCATATTCTCTTCGTGTTCAGGTTTCTGCCCCGTCGATAAAAGTCACTTTTGTGCTTCCACTCATTTTTTTTCACTGTTTGGTTTCCAGGAAGCAGGCCTTCTTGATGAGGCGCAGCACGTCAGCCGGAAGTCCCGGATTGCATCAGCGACATCTTCACCCACTGGCCACTTTTCCACCTTATTTTTTCCGTTCAGACACACGCGCTCATCTTCCGTGCACTCGTTGCCCCTTTTGTCTGGGCAGACGGATCGAACCTCACCGAGATCAGACGTCTCCCATCGTGGTGGGCACGATTTCCACTCCGTATTTCCTCTCCGTTTCCTCGGAGTCCTTTGCGAATACTGCATGCGACCCATCCGCGATCTTTCAAGACGCATTGTTCATTGCTCTGTATGTCACATCGTGTGCCACATGCAGCATTGTCACCGTAGTCTTACGCGCCGTTGCCCAAGAGTTATGGAGAGCGCCGCTCAGTCCACTGTCATCTGCCCTTCACTTGTCTCTCGAATGCCGATTCCAGCTCAACACTCCTCTCTCGGCAGTTCGGAGAATGTTTGCGCCCTCAGTCAAACAGAGGGCTCTAGCGAAAACGTGGGTGTTTATCGTGACGACTTGAGGAGCTTTGCTACAAACCCAATGAAGACCTTTGATTTTCGGCATTTGCAGGTCACCAACCTTTCTTATCTTGGCGCTAGCTTATCCGCGCAACATTGGGCTTGTTTTGAATGTCGCCGACCTATTAAATGTATTCCTTCAAGCTACACTGTGGTCGCCGAGCACTCCATGATGGATACTTTAATTCAAAGAACCAGTGAAGTTTTAGAATCTGGTGTTGCTTCGCTGACAAAGAAGGCTACGGACTTTGAACAACATCAGCATGCATCTCCGAACTGGACGCCGCAGCTCAACACTCAAATTCCTTTTTTGTCAGATCAGGTGAATCGATTACTAACACCTGACCCGATTATTGTGACATCGCACCAACACAACAGAATGGAATTTCACTGGGCTTGCTCTTCTGGCTCGGAAGACTTCGGCCCCGTACAAACATGGGAGGACATTCGCGTTTTGGAAGCTATCAATCGGTTTCGCGCTGGTTCGGCACAGCCGTTTCCAGTGAAACTGCACTTCAGGAAGCCGGCAGGAAATGGTGTTCCTGAAGTGGTACCGCAGGTGTGCGCTTCTGGCGGATTCGATCAGGCTCGTTTGTGCTATTACACTGGACACTTTTATTGCTCTCGATGCCATTGGTCAGATTCGTACATTATTCCTGCTTGCGTGTTTATCCTTGGGGACTACCGACCAAAGCCAGTAAGTGATAAACATTTCGCAACAAATGTTGGGTTCTTTTTTCCAGAACACACATACGTTGCTTATTGTTTATCTCCAAATTGTTCTTTATGGATTCCACGGATTGGGACGTCTGTGACTGATGAGTAAAACAATATTACTCTGCGCCGATTTTTTTTGCTTCTAACATAGCAGTAAATAGTTTGGAGCGCAACTTCTAAATTATGCATCCGGGCTGCTCCGCAACTAGAGTGTTTAGTGCGTTTAAAAGCGTTGTTACCACATGGCGTTCGATATGTGTGTATGTGGCATTTTCAGGAGCGTTGTCATATTTAGAGAGGCTTACTGGTCAGCGTTTGCACAATACCTTTTTTTCTTTCTATTCTGCACTTGGCTCAATGAGTATTCTTAGGGCATTCGCTTGATGTTCACTTGTTTACTTCATCTACCAATCTACTAAATTGTTCATAGTACATTGGTGGATGTGTGGTATTGGGACTGCCTCGACTGCTGATACATTGTATCCATCGCCTCTAATGTAAAAATTGGTTTGCCTTAGCTCCGCAGTACCGCATGGCAAGTGACTTAAACGACTGTCTCATGCACCTGATAGGGACATGCAGACATGCGGCCTGATTAACGGATAACGTTTGTGGGATTTGTTCAGTTCATCGCAATTGGATTACATGCCAAATAGGCTAAGTACCAATCCCGAAAATCACCATGCGTGTTTTCCGTCCTCTTAGGACTCGTCGGCGATGCCAAAACCGAACCCATTTCCACTAGTGGATTGCGTCATTAGCCAGCGGCTTAGGCCATTGGGACGACAGCTTACCGTCGTGGATTGAAATCTAACTGCGATATAATGCGACCCATCTTCCACTGTCATGTAGGTTACTGCCTTTCGAGGGGACACTGGTAGTCCCGGTGCAATTCATGGCTATTAGAGAGTCAAAGTTCAGTCCAGGCAAGGAACGATTGATGCTTTATCATTGGCCCGCTTATTCCGGCTTCCCCTCAGTTATTGAACTGCGAAGCTTCGCGACCCTCGTTTTTGCTCGTTACCTAGGGAACAACCTAAATGACATGTTGCATCATCGTTTTATCATTTTTATGCGAGTTTGTCCACCAAGAGTCGCACAGATCGCACTACTTCATTCCCCTTGGAATTGATTTATTCTGCGCAACCTGTTTTTATTATGACAGCATACCTTGATACTCCGTTATTTATTTAGTTATTGTCTGAGTCTTCCCCATACCATTTCATTCGGTTTTTCACAATTCTTTCGCACACTGCACGCTTGTTGAAAGATTCCTTATTTGTACTCATTGTTTACTCGTAGCAGGAAGGGATACAATTGTAGTACCTAACTGCTATATTTCGGTCTATGGCCTGTGCGCATCATCAGCGTATCTTTGTGAAATCGCATAGACCGGTATGCGGTCCTGTGTTAGCACGGATTTGTTCATTTTAGTCAGAGGTGCGCCACATGTTCATTCCCACTCACTCCGTCACCAAAACGTGAATCGTATTCTAGCACACTTCTCATTGCTTCTTAGGCCCTTTATACAGCCTTGCTGGTCTACATCGTATGCTTTATGCTCCTTCCGGTCACCCGATTGTGTTTCAACCCTTTGATGAATCGATCAGTGGCGCTTCCTTTGAATGCTTGCAAGTGCGCGAATTCCCAGCATGCCTTATAACAGGCACGTATGTCATCGAATGGCCATTGGGGCATATCGTGATTGGTACATTGCACGCAACCATCTTCAGATCTTTGCGTAAATATTTATCTTAATTTGTTTCATTCGCGTTTCTGATCTTTTTCGCATTTTGGTCTTTACCTGTGTGCTGTTATCCATGGTCTGTACGTACAGATCATTTACACCGATCCTGAATCATCTTTAACTGCTCCACACCATCAGACTCTGGGGGTCTTTATTTCGATGTAACGATTGTTCATCAGTTCTCACACCAGTTTCACACTTCCCGTAGTGTTGCGCATATTAGAAAGGTGTTGTCGGGGCACCTTCTATTCCGATGCCACTTCTATGATGAGTTGTTCTAAGAAACTGCGATTCGTAGTTAGAGGAGAGAGGATGCACAGTCTTGGTGATAGTGGCGGTGGTTTCGTCCAAGTGCGGATAGCTGCTACCAAGCCACCCATCTGTGCACTTCTGGTACGCATACGTTTGACTTTACCTCGATGATTGATCAGCAAAGAAGTCAACTACTCCCCGAATGCGTTTATTCTCTTATGGTCTACAACCTATTCGCATCCGCGGCTGCCTGGCATCGTAACGTCAATCCGCTTGTCCCTACACCGAGTTCCGTGTTGGTTGATTGCGGGCCGAGACAATCGTCACTCTCCGTTGCACACCGCCTGTATTTTTCTTTGTGGTTTACACTGAGACTGCGATGCACGTGCAGCTACAGCGCAGTCCACTCGTAGTCTCCCACTTTGCACGAAGTTCCTGTGGCTATTCTCAGTCGCAGTGCCAAGTTTATTCTGAAATAAATTCTACCAATTACGACAACCAGCTCTGCAAAATGGTTGTTTCTGCAATCCATCTGTTGCATACATTCGCGTGATTCTACAACTTCGCAAGAACCCGCAGTTCGAACGGTGTTATTTTATGTGGTAAATATTGTCGACCCCATTCCTGGGCTATGACCACCGACTGTTTCACATATATTTGAATCTTCTGGCGCGCGCTGCTTCTGCATATATTCCTACCGCACATATATCTGCGGATGCAAAACGTTCTACTGTTAAGGCGTTGGTATGGTCCACACTAGGCTCGTTACCATCTGACTTTCTTGGTACTTCTGTAATACTAACACTTGTTTCAGTAGTACCTGCCTTTGGCTGAACACAGCTTGACTGCCTTCATTTCACCTCTCACCCCTTCCACACACGCATTTAGGTTTGTCGGTCAGCCTTCTTGTGGCTCACTTATAGTTGGTCACGTCACCTGTTTCGTGTTCCTGACGCATGGTACCGTTATGAGCCGGCAGCGAGAAAGGTGTGTGCACTTAGACTCCGCGTTTTCCGGCTCAAACTTTACCTGGATTGTTGTGAGAAACTCCGCAGTCTACAGTCATCATTCGGAGTAAGTCCCTCTCAGTGTTTATGCGTCCACCTAGCGAAAGCTCGACATCCGAAGTTGCAGACTAAAGAAATAGTTATCCATACGGTATTAAAACCTTACTGTATCTTATAGCAATCAGTATGCGGTAATTTGCACAAACGATTTGTTTGTGGTTCTGTATGATCACTTCTCTTCCCCTGGTCACCGCTGCTACTCTCTTATGCTGAGGTCAAATAAATAAATAACTGAACTACTGGAATGAAAACCTTAACAAAATAAATAAACCTTTATTCTAGACGATGTGTAACATGCATATGACGGCATAACCGAGTGAATACATACTTATATAAAACGGCCCGTAGCCTAGAGGTAACTAGCTCGTCTCGTAATCTTGTGGCGCGGGCTCGAATCCGCGTAGCGGTGTGCGTCCTCGCGGTATACTCAGCCCGCGTGCAACTGGTGGTGGCCGCACGGCTATGAAGCGCCGTTACGGCGTACAGCTGACACATTATTTTTTCTTGTATATAAAACGTTGGCCACAAATGAATCAAGAAAATATAATAGCGGATCAAATATTATTAGTTGGAAGGGCAGCATTACCACTTCAAGCGGTACACTGAAATGAATTGGTATTAGATGTTCTTGAATCTACGTTATCAACAAACAGCTAACATACTTAAAGCGACGATGGTGGCGAATGAGGTACTGGGTCATTTGAAACCTCGACTGTGCTCGTATTCTTGGCTGGTTATTGGGTATACGAATATCTCCGAATAAAACAAACAAATTTGTATTCTTACCGACACTTGGGTTGCGACGCTTAAGTGAATTGGATCGTGCGTACACAAAAGTAGTGTCATAGTTTCTGTGCCTTAAAGCACAGTAATTAAAAACAAAAAATTTCAGGCTATAAATTTTCTCACAGATCCCTCACAGGGTATTCACGCAGGACGTATGTTTGCACTCATGTTTTCAAATTCTCTAGGTGGCGAACCCCATGAGCGGTCAATGGTAGGATAGGGGCGAATTAGTGGCACAGGTACCACTTTCATTGCATTAACAATGAAAATGGAAAGATAAGTTGACTACAGGCTTCTAGCAGTTCATATGTCGTTTAGGCCAAATTCCGTTAATATTTGTGGAGATTGCTGTGTTCCATATTCGTCTAGCCTTTTAATCTGAGGGCCCGAGTTCGAACCTGCGTAGGGACCGAGCTAGCCTCACAGTATCCCTAGCCCACTTGCTACTGGTGTTGGTTACTAGGCAGCGAAGCTCCGGTACTGTATACCGGTATAGTAAAGAAAATTTCACCCGATGTCCGGAATGTGACAACGTTTGCACCTGCGTGTACCCCTAGGGGTTGCTGGTTCCACAAGTTGGCATATCTCATCAAAAGTAAGGCGGATCGGATTTTATGACCTGGACACTGTGAGATTAACCGGTAGCCGGCATTACGGGTGGGATGAATGATATTTTTCTGCATTTCAAGAACGGTACTCTGTGAAATTCTGCTTATTTGTGATGTTAAAAGGATCCATTTGGAGGTGGCGACAAGTCATAGTAACTCAGGATTGAACAACGCCCCAAGACATTTTCCAGAACTATTGTCTTTCTTAATTACTTCAGAATGATAGTACAATACTCCAGCGCAAGTCATACAATTGTTCTATATTAATAAAGTAGTGTTTGAAGTAGGAAAATAGTTCTAGTGATGTAGCTGGATAGCTGTCTGGCCTTTACGACTTGATATAATAATGCGTGCACTTCTCCATCGTGTGAGAGGCTCTCCCTGAAGTATGGACAGATCACCAGTACAGTAATGATCATGCTCATGCATAAGTGAGACATGTTTTCTCGATCGTGTCCCATCAAAACACGCTGAAACATCTAATTTTTGTTGTTGTTGCGTTTTGTGTAAAAGCTTTCCTCACCGGTTATATATTCCTTGGTCTATCCTGAAAGAACTCATTTGGTGGTTTGTCCGATGAAAATATGGTCATTACCGATTTCAAGTCCAGGAAATTTCCAACTTTAATGCGGAATGTTCTTGCTTTTCTACAGGACCTGCTAGGGGCTAGTAGGCCAACCCACACGACAACATATCAGACGAGGAAGAAGTTGGATCGAATAGTTATCCTGGTTCTTGGTACAATTAGTTTACAAGTTTTATTGCGTAGTCCCCGGATGAACTTGTTGCAATTCTAATGTGCACAGGTTGGAGTTCGTCTTTTTGTTTATGAGATTATATATGAGCATCAGTCGTTGCAACCAAAGTGGCTCAAGATTAGCTGCTGACAGCGCTCACGATAGCTCAAGGCGAACGATTTATTGAACAAACGTTTAGTGAGTGTTTTTTACAGGTTGTTCAGAACTTTCCTGTCACTCCTATGCATGTTTCCATAAACGATGCTGCAGTATTCAAGAACACGAAGTTTGAGTATTTTGAGAAGTTTGATTTTAGCTGATACGGTCGGGATTATATGACATACGTTAGCCATAGATCGTTTGGGCGCGCTATCTGATATTTGGCCTGTATGGGAATTGGAGTTTGAAGAGTATCGTAAGAATAAATCACAGGCAGACAGTTTAAGAGAAATTTTAGCATTTGGAGTGCCTAATTTCCTCAAGTCCCGAAATGAATCAGATGGTCAGAGTATATCACCGACAAACGTGCTAAAGTCTTCCGGGATGCGGTATCTGTACCCACATGCTTGGGATTTTTAGCGAAGCATTTCATTAGTAATCGTTCACTAGATTTATTCAGTACGGAGAGATCTCCGTGTATGCTTCCCAGGCACATTTGTAGTTGCTCAGGTTGAAAGTTCATATTCCAATTTGACCTCGTCTGCAAACTGAAGTAAGCGTCCGTTTTTGATGGGGTCGCATAAATTTTTTATGTGCACTCGAAAAGTAGTGATCCTGGAAGACATCGGTGATTATTCGTTTTGGAGTATAGTATTGCTGACCCATTCGGATTCCTTGGGGTTGATCGTTTGGGTATGAGTCAAACCAACGTAGCAGAGATTTCCTGATGCCATATTACCCTAGCATGGACAACATTGGTTTGCGTGGCACGCCGTCAAACGCCTTCTGCTTACCCAAAAGAATTATGCTGATTGTCATTTATGTCAATCATAGTCGTAACCTGATTGAGGAATTGTAGCTGGTAGTTAATACAGGAGCGCCTTAAAGAAAGCCATGTTGTGTGGGATTGATAAGGTCCAGTCGTATACGAAATTGGTAAACTCCCTTCTTGACTTTTCTTTCTAGGGCTTTGGAGGCAGTAGGTGTGTGATTTATCTAGTCGTAGCTTGATATTTCATTTCGCGGGCCACCGTTGTGTTTAAGAATTAGGATGGATTGCTTCCACTGAGATAGAAGCAGCCACTAGTCAACAAAGGAGCACACGTACTGAATAACAACGGTGGGGTTTTTCCACCGAACTCTACTACTATTCTGTTGCCTATATCGGTGTTGCGCATGTAAGGTTCAACCAACTTAGAGCCGCGAGAGTTGCACTCGTACTCAAGAGTACTGTGGGTAGATGGTTATTCGGCTTTTTGTTGCTTATCCCACTATCGGTTTCATTGTTGCACACAGAGGCATGAAATCGTCTTCACACTGCTGACAATCATTTCTGGTGAATACTTTGCAGAGCGTTAAAAGGGTTCAGGAACAGTTAATACATGCGTAGATCGCGTAGTAGTGCAGTCACAGGAGAACGAGCAAAATATAAGACGCACAGTTTCATTTACGATAAGCGATACAAACCAACCGTTTTTAATTCCACACTTTTTCTTTGCCGAGCAACGTGTTTTGATCTCTAAGTCAGTATGCTGAATCAGGTGCCCGTTTCGGCTAAGTATACTGTTCGTTAGTTTGGCTTATTCGCTGTGTCCTGGTCCCGAATGTTTGCTCCTAGGCAGTTCTTGAATGAGGTTTTGGTCAATGCTAACGTGCTTCACACACACACATACCTTGAAAACCCACTCGAAGTCGAGAGGACTGAGTTGACAAATACTAGCGCGCATCGACCGTTAATGATTTGGGTTGGAAGTCCACAGCGATTTGTGACCTACACGTTGGAGTTAGGATCGACAGCAGAAGATTAGATACACAGGTAGTATTCGCAAAATGGGGTGCACCTACGCTGATGACAGAGCTTGCCGAGTGGCTTTGAGAGTACCCATTCGCATGCGGGTAATTTGCTGGGAAGATATCCGAAAAGGAATATAGTTGTGTGCGTGAGTTTCATCTAACGCTCCAACGAAATCGGTCCAGCAAATAGGATGCTGAAGCGAAGAAGTACTTCCTTTAAGCTCCACCTGATAGAGCTGGTGAATCGGAGTTGCTTGGATTGAATTTGCCTAATTCACACCAAGATGATAAGTCATAAATACGTGAGATTCAGGAGCGCCAGACCCGTGCGCCCGTTCGCGACTCAGCATGATGTAGTCTTGTCATATGTTCACGTTTCTTGTTAGCGCTTTGGCATAATTCGTGCTCGATACCAACACGTATTCCGGTTTATATCCTAGGGCAAATTCTGGCATACCTATTAAAGGGGACGTTCGCAGATCTACTGGACTTCTATCCTACCACTGAATTCTCTTTACTTCGTGGGTTGTAAGCGGCAGATTGCATTACTCGTCTGCTGAGGTTGGAAACATATATTTTTATGCAGTATGTTGAAAATATGACTGATTTGTGCTCATTCAGCCTTGGCCAAAGCGGATCAAGCTTGAATTTGTCATATGGCTCAGAATATTGCAGTTTTTTGTGAAGCACCTAAAAGTCCATTTGTGAATGCTCTCTCTGTATTTGTTCCAGTGCATTTCTGTCGTACTGTTTTATGCTGTTATACACCGTTGGACAGTATTGCAACATAAATTGAACCAATGAGATAGGAGCATGAAGTCTAGACACTTTTAGCGAAAACTTAAGTATTAATCCAATAACCTGTCTTGTCGGCCCGTAGCCTAAAGGTAACAAGATTGTCGCGTAATGCGACGGCGCGGGTT